GAGAGGATTGGCAAGATATTTGTTTCCTATGACTGGCTTGCTGATCATCAAAATGCAGAAGTGCAAAATATATTCCGGAGCTCTTCTGACCATAGACTGTTATCTCTTAATGAAAGTCCTGATATGCAAATGCACAAGAATAGACAGTTTTTCTTTGACAAACGGTGGCTGAGAAGAGATGGCATCCAGGAGGTAGTGCAAGAAGGCTGGAATATAGAGGAAAATAGTACTCCTATGTATCAATTTTCTCAGAAAATCAAATGTACCAGGCTTGCACTACTGAAATGGAGCTGCTCATTCAGAAGGGAGCAATTGAAAGCCAAAGTTGAAGTCAATGGTAAGTTGGACATGATGAGCAAGATGGGAGCAGAAAGGGACTGGACAGAATGGGGGAGATTGAGGAAGGAGTTGGGCAGAATTACCAAGGAAGAAGAGGCATATTGAGCCCATAAATTCAGATCTCAATGGATCAAAGAGGGAGACTCCAATACAAAGTTTTTTCATGCTTCAACTTTTCAAAGAAGAAGGATGAATGCAATCACAAGACTTGTCAGTGATGACAACAGAGTTCTGGACTGCAAAGAGGATATTCAGAATCATGTTTGCTCCTTCTATAAGTAGCTTTTCTGTACTGAGGGTTCTAGGGGTGAGGCAGACATCCTGCATCTGATTCCTTCAGTGATATCTACAGAGCAAAATGAGGTGATCACAACCCTAGTCACTAAAGAGGAAACCAAAGCACCCTTGTTCAGCCTTGACCCTGGAAAAGCTCCTGGTCTTAATGGTATGAGCCCTATTTTTTTCCAGAAATTTTGGCCTATTATTAGTCATGACTTTTGTAAAGCTATTTGCAGTTTTTTTGAATCTGGTCAATTGCTTAAAAGTTGGAACCATACTCTCATGTCTTTAATTCCCAAATGCATGAACCCCTCCTCTATTAAACAATATAGGCCTATTAGCTTATGTGGAGTATCTTATAGAGTCATTGCTAAAATTCTTTCTCTTAGACTCAAGCCTCTTTTAGCTGACAACATTAGTGAAAACCAGACAACTTTCATTCCTGGTAGACAATTATTAGACAATGTAGTCATTGCTCATGAAGCTGTGCGCTATTTAAATAGGCTTAGGTCTGGGAGAATTAGTTTCATGTTACTCAAGCTAGATATGGAAAAGGCTTTTGATAGGATTGAATGGGGGAGTGTTTTTCATATTTTGTTGAAAATGGGATTTCATTCCAAGTTTGTCAAATGGATTAAAGCCTGCATCACATCCACTTCATTCTCCCTTAATGTAAATGGGGAAGTTAATGGATTTTTTAATGCATCTCGAGGCATTAGGCAAGGGGACCCTTTGTCCCCTTATATTTTCATCTTAATCTCTGAGGTTTTTTCAAGAATGCTCAAACAAGAAGAGACTAGAGGCAGATTTAAAGGTTTGAAGATTGCTAAAAGAAGTCCCTCTGTATCTCACTTAATGTTTGCTGATGACACTTTAGTCATATGTGAAGCTGATATGCAACATAGCCATATCTTGTTGGACTTACTTCACAAGTACCAGGTCTTCACAGGACAAAGAGTCAACATGAGTAAATCATCCATTTTCTTTAGCAAAAACTGCTCAAGCTCTACTCAATCTTTGATACTTGGGGTTGCCCCTCAGTATTGGGAAGAATTCAAATTCATAGATCATCCAGATACTTGGGGTTGCCCCTCAGTATTGGAAGATCAAAAAAAGATTCTTTTGATTTTGTGTTAGAGGTTGTGAGAACTAAACTTGTCAGTTGGAAAAACCAGTTCTTATCATGTGCAGGAAATGAAGTATTGTTGAAGGCAGTTTTGGGGGCTCTACCAGTTTACTCTATGTCCTGTTTCTATTTGCCAAAGGGTTTATGCAAGGAAATAGCAAAATTATCTGCAGGCTTTTGGTGGAAATCAGGGGACCAACAATCAGGAGTACATTAGAGAGAATGGAGGAGACTCTCTATTCCCAAGGGTGCTGGAGGATTAAGATTCAGAGAGATAACTTTTTTTTAATGAGGCTCTTATTGCCAAGCAAATCTGGAGGTTAGTCACTAATCCATCGCTATTGGTCACTAAAGTACTCAAGGGCAAATATTTCTATGACTGCTCTATTCTACAAGCTAAAAAGCCCTACAATGTGTCCTGGTTATGGTGTAACTGGCTGGGGATGAAAGACAAGTTTAGATCCTTCTTCAAAGTGATTGTGAGGAATGGGAGAACAACAAAAATATGGAGTGATCCTTGGATCCCAGGGGCTGTAAATGGTTCTCCACATAAAACATATAGAGGTTTGCATGAGGTATACTGGGTTCATGAGCTTATTGAAGAGGATGGATGGCATTGGAATAGAGACAAGATTCAAGAATATTTCACTGCAGATGATGCTGAAGCAATCCTGAGAATATCCACTCTTAACCCTCTTGCTTGTGATAAATGGAGCTGGGCAATAGACAATAAAGGTCAGTTCTCTATTTCTTCCTCATATTCTCACTTGGTGCTGCAAAAAATCAGAGAACTAGACACAGCAGAATGCAGCTCAACTAGTAGGCAAGAGATCAAAGTGAGGAACAGAAGCTGGAAACTCAAAGTAAAGAGCAAACTGAAGCACTTTCTCTGGAAGTGTTATACAAACACCTTGCCTACTTGCTTAAACTTGAGAAGAAGAGGATTAGATGTGGATCCAAGTGTCATCTCTGTGGGGAAGCCTCAGAATCAGTGGAACATTTGTTCCTTCACTGTGAGAGAGCACAAAAAGTATGGAAACTGTCATCCTTGGACTGGAACATACCTGCTGCTTCAGAGTCTTTCAAATGCTGGTGGTGGAATGTCTGTTCTGTTGATAATAGAGCCATCTCAGAAGACAGAATTGAGTTATCTACTTATATATTATGGTGGCTCTGGAAATCTCGTAATTTGTGGAAGTTTCAAAATTCTTGGATGCCTGAACAAGCTGTTATCAAAGAAGCTCATGGTGATTGGGTGGAATTCAAGAACTGCAGATCTTAGAGAGAATACAACAAGGAGTGGAGCCATCTAGGTCCTTGGTTCAGTGGAGACTTCATTTTCCTTTTGTTTTTCACCATCAGATTATCCTGTTTCTTTATCTGCTGCTTTGATAGCTTTTGTTTAGGTGGTTTCATCATTTGTTTATTTTCTTTCTATGGTTGTGCTATAGCTGCTATAGCTTTCTGAGATTATCAGGTATAGTAGCTGGGTTCTTTGGTTTGTGTATTTGCTTTAGGCCATTAGTAGGATGGGCTCATTTGTACCTTTTTGAACATTGAGGCGCGGCCTCTCGGCTTGTACTTTCTTCTTCTTTTGGATGAATATATCTATCGTTTTGAAAAAAAAATGCTTTGTTATACTTCTAAACTCTATTCATAATGGAAATTATGCAGGATGAAAATTGCTTCCTCCTACAACAGTGGTTGCGGTGGGGGCTATCCGGCGGCTTCGGCTGTGTGGAGTGGGAGGCCGTCTGTTCGCGGCTGGCTGCAGATAGGCTTGGGAGCCATAGAGGAGTGAGTGGAAGACGGTGAGTCATTGGAGGTCGGACACGAAAGCTCCGGTCACGGCCATGGCGGACGCCGGTTTTTTCACCGGGTTGCGATGGTCAGAACGACGACAAAAAATGGAGGATTCAATCAGCTTATATCATGTGGCGGAAAATTCTAGTCCACTAAAGAAAACCCCCTTATCTCCCCCACAACTGAAGAATCCCATTGAGAAGAAAAAACACCACAACAAAGACACACATTCACAACACAAACACATAAAGAGGCAAAAATAGGGATATGATTATATGAAACTCAAAATTTTTATTTGTATATGTTCTGATTTTTTTCCATCACTTGTTTGAAAACAGGAGATAAATGGCATGCTTTAAAACCCGTATCAGACGCTTTAACAAAAATGATGATTTTTTATTTCATTTTAACTAGTACAACGTGTATTACACAGGTGCTTGCTAATTTTTTATTAAAATCTAAAATTAATGAGAAAAAGTAATTAAAAATTTCAATACCTTTTATAAATATATATATATATTATTATATATTTAGTATGACACTTTTTTATTTGTGCGACTTACCTGTGTTATATTATAATATTTTTTTGACTTTCGACATATAACTACATTAAAATAAATATATCAATTGAGAAATAATTTTATTTTTTAATGAATTTTAATAAATATTATTATTTTTTATTATTATAAAGATAAATATGATTTATTTATTTCATATATACAATATGGATGTCAAATCGAAGATCATCAAAAGATAATTAATTTGATATATTATATTTGTAAAACCGATAAGAAATACAAAAGTTATCAACTTTTAAAATACATTTACAATTCAATAGCTAATTGAAGGAAAAAAATCAAAAGTCAGGGATATATTAGTCACTTAATGTCTCACTATGTAAAATTACAAAGAAGGGGTTATATTAGTAAAAGTTATATTAAAATACCTAAGTTAGCTAAATAATATTTATCGAATGTCCGAACCTAGATTATTAATTATTAATATTATATTATTTATCCAAACCTAATTACGAAGCATGATTCTTTGCCAAAATTAATATTAAAATACCTAAGTTAGCTAAATAATATTTATGGAATGTCTGAACCTAGATTATTAATTATTAATATTATATTATTAATCCAAACCTAATTACGAAGCATGATTCTTTGCCAAGTAGGATTCCGAAGCACCAGAAACAGTCACGTAGTGTCAAGGGTGTTGATGCCTAGAGACGCCGGACCTCGACTACGTAGTTCGTAGTCTCGATCCGTGGTGACTCGGCAGGCTTATACCCCCACGCCGCTGTTCTTCGTCGGAAGGGTTATGCCCCCTAGCCGTCGGCTTATGAGATAGAGAAGAGAGATTAGATAGGTTTAATCTTGCTTAATTTATCAATGTGCGGTTTACAGCATATAAGGCCATATGTTCTTCGTCGGAAGGGTTATAATCGAGACTACGTAGTTCGTAGTCTCGATCCGTGGTGACTCGGCAGGCTTATACCCCCACGCCGCTGTTCTTCGTCGGAAGGGTTATGCCCCCTAGCCGCCGGCTTATGAGATAGAGAAGAGAGATTAGATAGGTTTAATCTTGCTTAATTTAT